TGGGGATGGGGGGTCAATTCACAGGAGCCAGAGCAGCAGGACCCATCACCAGAGGGACTCCTGTCCCCACAAACATGGCAAGCTCTGGGGGAGGGAGACTCTAGGAGGCTGAGGCAGGCAAGGGCCTACAGCTTAGCTCCCTAGCTGGCCAGGTCAGGCTCACTAGTTCAGGGAGGAGTATGTGTGTGATTCTTCAGTTGGAATAGGCTTGGAACAGGTGAGGGTCACCTGCCTCATCCAACCCAGATGCTGCAATCATCAGACAAAGCACAAAAGGGAAGCAGAGTTGAGGTTCTGTGTCTTCTCAATGGCCCATGTTGATGGACCCTGACTTGGATGTTCCTGGACCTGACCTCTGCAGGACTATGTTTCACATTTGCCTCTGGGCTGTATCCTGACTGCTGGCTTCTTGGACTGACCCTGGATCTTCTTTCCTGACCTTTGGACTTTGCTTGTGTGGATCGACCCTTGGACTTTGAACTTGGCATACTGATGTGCTGCCAGGAAGGCCAGGGGGTTCAGGACATCTTGTTAAAGTTTTCCCCACCTCTGTGACTTACATGTTTTTCTCTATGGGTATGATTGTTAGCTGGCTTGACGGTCCTGTGTGTAGACCGAAAGCCAGGAATTGTTGCTGAAGGGCACCACACTCCATGCATTTTGGACAAACAAAACAAACTTGTCCACTTCTCCAAGGATGGTTGATGAGGGACTATTTCTATTGCTCTGAACCTGAAGGTATAGCACTGATTGAAGGTATAGCACTGAAGGCATAGCACTGATTGGCTGATCTGCATGGCACTAATTGGTTGGCCAATGAGTGACAATCAGGGAGCCTTCCTCAGAGTAGCTTTTGGAATAGAAACAAGCTGTTGTTGTTATTTTAATAGACCTCAGCCAGATAAACATGTAAAAACAGGTGACCATCCTGCTGGAATATGGAAAGGTGGAGAAACCCTGAAGAGGCAATTTAATCCAGAGGCTGTATGTGTGTCGTTTAATGAAGGGGTGAGCAAATCCAGACCATGGTTGCAATCTTATGCACACTTACTTGGGAGTAAGCCCTCTTGAGCATACTGCACTTCCTTTGAAATTAACATGCACAAGCTATCAGTTGCGTGGCGAGTTCCCGCCCCCGCCCCCAGTGGAAATAAAGACACATAACACAGTTATTAAGGTTAATGGGCTAAATAAGGCCACAACTTTATTGGTTACAGGTAATAAGAGGTATTGGCTTAGGCACTGCTCCTAACCGACTATATCCAGCTTCAGCCCATCCACTTGAAGTCCGGGAAGGGTTAACCACCAGTAAGGGGAGTCCTGCTGATGCACATCAACTAGGAACTCCCCCGGGGTCACCGCCCTCACTTTAGGCCCTCACCTCCATAGGCTTCGGACAGGGCCACGCCCCCCGGAATCCTTTATCAGACTACCCTTCAATATGCGGGGCAGGTGATGGCGCTTTCTTCCCTCTTCCATCTACAAAACAATACAAATACCAATGCCTAACCGCCAACACCAAGAAAGTTGTGACGATTAGCTACAAGGTAGGTGAAAACCAAGTGGCTGGTGCCAATTTGCCAAGTGGAAAAATTCCTACCAGGCCCCTCAACGGCGACCAACCGAGGTCCATAGCAAGGTCAAGGAACGAAAATCTTAAAGGGCGGGAGGGTGGGAAACAGGAGCAGCTGAGGCGGCAAAAGAGGGAGATCCCCGGCCGTGCCTGCCTTAAATAGGGCAGGCCACACACCCCGAGCCAGCCGATTGGCTGGCCAGGAGTTGACACGTCCGGGGATTCCCTCGATTGCATGGAGGCTGAGCTCCAGCCGCTGCGCACATGGTGGGGGCGTGAAGCCCACAACACCACCTCCTTTGCAGAGCGGAAGTGGTTTTATGCAAAACTGTAGAAAAGGTTGTGTGAAGTCGAAGGACTGTTTGCAAATTCGCTCAGTGTTCTCAAGAGATGCAAGTTTTAAAATGCAGTTTTTCTTGGTGCATAATCTGAGCACAGAGTTTTAATACTGAGCTAGGTAGACCAACGGCCTGGCTCACCACAAGGCAGTTTGTATTCAATGTGTATTTGTATTCAATGTGTATGCAATGTATTCAATGTGTTTGTATTGTGTACATACAAATATGTGCATTTCAGAGATGCACCATGTGCTTGTGCTGGACAACTGGCCCTGGTTCCTTTGCACCTCCAAGCATGAGTCATTTACCTTAAATTAATAATAATAATTCTGGTGGTTTTGTGCTAAACACCTGCCTATTAATTGGCTTCAGCCCCATCTCGAAACATCTGTCATTCCTCCCCCCCACCCCCTTAATAACTTGGTAATTAAAATTCAGCCGAGAGCTCTGTTGAGACTTCTGGGTAATTAGGATATGATAGAGGCATGCGAACAGCAAGGTGTTTTGTCTAGCGGTGGAGACCATAGTTCAGTGGCAGCATGCATGCTTTTCATGCAGAAAGGTCTCGGGTTCAATCCTTGCAATCTCCAATTAAGACAATCAGGGATTTATTTAAAACTGTTTATATCCAGGAGCAAGTAATAGAACAAGCATCCGCCTATGAACACTTCCAGTAAAAGCAGGCCATGCTGGGTTAAGATGGTCAAATGATCCAATCTAGAATATCAGGCAGCCATGGTTGCTTCCCAGATGTTTATTGGCCCAGAGA